GATCCTCCCTCCTTCCCCATGTTTATCCTGTGGCTTACAAAAAATGGCCAGTGTTTGAGTATCTACATAGCAATTATGGAGCCATTCTGGGTGGTCCTGGAGATAAGAGAAAAGCTGTATATAGGGGACCTCAGTCCACTTTTCCTCCTTTTTACAGAAAAGGTCTAATTGGAGAATAGTATTATAATTAATGGAGCCCTCTGAAGGCCACTTCTCTTGGTCACCCAAGGGATATTGAGGCCAGGCCCCAGTACAAAGAAAGATGAGGTTTTTTCCTTGAGATTGTTAGGATCAAGGTCCTTCCAACATTTTAGTAGACAGGCCAGCAGAGACTGCTTGGGTACTGAGGCAGGAAGACTGGAGGGGCAGGTCCCATCTAGATGAACAACAACAAAAAAAACCTGGGTCATTTCCTCTTCTTGTTGGCATCCTGACTGGGGATTGACCTAAGGAGAACAGGCATCCCTGTCTCATGATTTCCTTCCACCATCTGTAGCCAGGACTGAAGGAAATGCAGTGACTGGTAGGACTGTGGCCACCAATACCTATGCAGTGAAAAAAACTCTAGGATTCTGCCTTTTAGCCTCTTTAACAAAGGCTTCCTCTTTAACAAAGGGATGTGTCACCTGGAGAAGTGCCTGAAAAGTTAGAGAAAGGTACTCAGAGGGAGTCCCAGGGCAATCACGGTGCCATAAAGGGATGACTAGTGTCAACATTTGGAGGACATTTTTCTATGATGAGGCCAAAGGTGTGAGAAGTTTTAAATGAGAAGTCTAGAGACCACAGCAGAACCCATTTTTTTTTTTGGCTGTTCCCAGATGATTATGTTAGTGCTTTTTGGGGACCATGACTTTGAGATAAGAATTGGCTCCAAGGGCTGGGTCAGTTAGGCTTGGGCATGAGATGGGGCTGGGAGTGGGGCTTGAGCAAGGCGCTGCCACCCTCCCCCATGCCTGGGACCAGTGACCCTGTCTACCCGGGCTTGCCCCTGAGGCCTGTTGTCCCTCCTCCTGTGTATGCACGCCTGTGTGCATTTAGTTTTCCTCTTATCCCTTTTTGGGGGAATGGCGGTGGGTTGCAGTCACTGCTGCATATGTCTGGTGGCTTTGGATGCGTGCTGAGCCCTTTTTATGGATTGCCTTAGCTGTGGCAGGTGTATGGATTGCCTTAGCTGCCCAGGGTATCCGGCAGGATGGGCTGGCATTCCTCTGCACGCAAATGCCTGTTTGTTTTCCCTCCTCCCCTTGTGGGGGTGGAGTTAGGGCATGTGTGTGGTGTGGTGGGAGGCCTGTGTTGGTCCTCACCCCTGTCAGCTCTGCCCCTTGGGCAGCGGTTTTGTGAGGCTGATTTAAAGCTGGTGTAGACCAAGGAGCATGACAAACTAGGTGTGGGAGTAATTCAAGAAAGTCATAAGAACTGTGGTACGAGTTTTCCATGGGAGGCCAGGGTCCCAGTAAGCACACAGAGGTGAAGGCAGACAGAGATGAAGGACTAGGCAGCAGGACCCAGGAGGGAGTGTGTGAGTAAAAGTATGTGTGCTGCTTCTGGCAGGGACAGAAGAGGCAACCTCACATTGTAGGTGGAGGAGGGGAAGGGGACAGAGCTGGGAGACAGGACACACACATGAGGGATTAATAACTAGATGTGCTTTCAGGTCACTCCCACTAAGTGGTCCTGGAACACTGTCAGCCACACAAAATCTCCACTCTGAGGTCACTGCCTCTGGCAGAAGGGGGTATTGACAGGTGGGACAAGACGCAGATCGCCAGGTGCAAAAACCAATCAGGTCTCCCCCAATGTAACATAAGGCACACCTGAAAAACCCTGGGCTTGGTCTTGGACGACGGAGGGAAAAGAAAGCACCCCCAAAGCTGAAATCACTATGAGGCCAAAGTTGGCTAGGAGCTGGTTCAATACCATGACGGGAAAGTCCCTCAGGAAGACAGGAACAGAGAGAGAGAAAGGGGGAGTGACACAGGTAAGTCTGCTTTTGGCTTGTCCTCAGCAGGGGGTTTCCCCCAGCAGGAATATTCAGCAGGGCACCGGTGGCTCATGTCAGCACCTTAGCCAAGCTTCTGCTTGTTTGGTGCTCAAGTTATACTGACCTTGGTCCAGGAAGAGATGTCCCTTCATGCAGTGTGTTATGTGCGGGTGTGAAATGTGGGCTGGTGTCGAGGTCCTTGCCTTCATAGGCCAGAGAACTGGCTCATGAGGCAGCTGATTGACTTGTGAGCCAAGGCTGGTGCCCGAAGTAGAGAAAAAGGAAGGGGTACAGCTAGAGAAGTGTAGCGGAGCCCAGAAACCGTTGGCTCCCTGCTCAGGTGAAGGCTGGGGCTTTTTATGGATGCTTTAACTCTGGGTTTGGGTAAGGGTTAGGTGGGCTCTTTCCATTGGCCATAGATTCATTGGTTCTCTTAGATGAGCTGGTCTGTTTGTCCCTTATTTGGGGGTGGGGGGCAACCTTGAGAATATTTTATCAGTCCTGTGGTAGATTTGTGAGACCCTGTATCTCCTCCTCAGGGTACTCCTTCTCGGGGTACAGGGCTCCTAGTGCTCTCCATGGGGGATTGGGATACTCGCTCATGTGTTCTTTAGGTTCCCAGACCCAACAGTAGTATCTCCTGATTCTGACAACCAAATGGAGACTCCTCATGTCCAGCTCCTCTCATTTTCTTTTATGTTTAGCCAGAGATTTTACATTTTTCATCTTCACTACTTTACCAACATTCTGCTCAACTTTCTACTCAATTTGGATAAGTTTTAGCATGTGGTAGCTGCTTTTTTTGGATGGGATATAGCTATGACTTCTCTATCTGTAACTGATGTTTGGTTGGTGTCTTTTTTTTGTCACTTGTTAGTAAGATACCTGTTCCTTCTGAATTGTGCCTCTGGGTTTCTCTAGGTATTGTGTTGAAAATATAATTACATAAGGTAATGTTCCTTCCTTGTCATTCTTTAGTCAGACTTTCATAGAACTCTGAGTTCTTCTGGGAATCCTAAAGAAGAGTATAGGTTGAATATCCCTACTGGAAATGTTTCAGATCTAAGGTGTTTTCAGAGTTCAGATTTTTTTCATATTTGCATGGATGTAATGAGATATCTTGGGAATGGGAGCCAAGTCTAAGTGTAATTCATTTATATTTCATATCCACATTATACACATAGCCCGAAGGTTATTTTATACAATATTTTAAACAATGCTGTGCATTAAACAGAGCTTGGTATGGAATTTTCCACTTATTGCATAATTTTGGTGCTCAGAAGTTTTGGATTTTGAAACATTTCACATTTTCTGATTAGGAATGTTCAACCTCCATCTTAAAAAAAGGTCAAGAGTTTTTAGTTTCCTCCTGTAATCCTGGCATCCTTGATTAATATTCTTTCCAGGTTACAATATAAGACTTTAAATTAATCTTACATTCTCTTTTGAAGGGAGTATGTTTAAGAAGAGTTTGGAAATTTCCCTGTAGCTTTAATTACCTGTTGATATTTCCTTGTTATCCCAATTTCCAAATTCATATAAGAATAGTATAAGCACAAAATATAAATAAATATGCCAAGTATCTGTGTAAGGAAATAAAAGGAATGTGGACTCCAATTTGAAGTCTACTTATCTTAAGTATAAAACATTTTTTCAACATAAAAGTAGTTTAAGTATGATTAAAATTCTAAGAAAAGATAGCAAAAGCAAAAACTATAAAAACCCAAACCCCTCATAATCCTGTCTTGCAATAGAAATTATTTGCATTTTAGAATCTTTTTTTTTCTTTTGTGGTACTGGGGCTTGAGCTTATTTCTTATATAAATAATTTTTATTTACATAGTTAATAGTTTGTATTTTTGATACAATTTAAATAATTTTAATTGATGAATTAAAATTATTAAAATAGTATTAGTTCATCTTTTTTTGACATTTAAGTAAATATTTAAGGCAGGTATAGAGTATGTTTGTGTGTTGAGGCAAACTTGTAATGAGTTATTCTCAGTCTTGGGATTGGGTACTCAGGTACATTTTAGTAAAGATTATAGCAGAGAAACAATATTGACTAGTGATTAAGAGCCATAGTGTTTAAATTAAAATCCTTTCTTCCATTTATTAGCCAACTAAGTAACTTTGGGTACGTTACTTAGTTCTGTGCCTTCCCAGTCTCTTGTGTGAAGTGGGACTCATGCTAACATGAACCATATATATATATAAATTTTTTATCAGGATATATCATGATACGGGGGGGGGGTTTGTAGTGACAATTCCAGTTAGATTTATAGAACCATATATATTTTTGATCAAGATTATTGAGTCAGTCTTTGTACTTTGAATCTCTTTTTATTCAATGCTTTACTAAATTTCAGATTCATTTAAAATTAACATCTCGGTATTAATGAGTGATAAAGTTGGATGATAAATGCTGCTGGGGAAAAAAAAGGATATTTAACCTTCCAAAATGTACCTCTGGTGGTTGGCCTGAGTGGCAGATGAATGGGTGTCTATATAATTTAGGCTGAATTTTTTTTTTAGAACTCCACAAATCATTATAATTTAATTTCATGTAATAAAGAGAGCAATGCAAGATGACTCAGAAGGTCAGCTTTTTATTTCTACTGCTTCCTGTTTTTTAATTCTTCTTTCTGTACAACCATAAGTCATACAGTTGCTTTGAATTTGTTTTGTCCTATAGAAATACCATACATCTCACCTTTCTCAGATCTATCATTATGATTAAACAACATGTTTGGTGAAAGTGGGCTTGAAAACTATAAAGCCTGATATTCAAAAATAAACTGTATCAATTTAAAAAGTAAAAACGGGATAATGCATAAAGAGCTCTTGATACACACGGTATTCAGTCTAGTCTTTCCTAAAAGACATTGTTTTTGCTGCTCATTATTATTGTGAAGACAAATACTTATGTGAGAAGGTTTATATAATTATTACATGGCTTATGGATATATTGTTAATATCTGCTTTGATTTTTTTTCTTTCCCTTATGTTTGTGTTTCAGACTCCTGGGAGAGTTGGCTCTCAAGGTTCTGATTTAGATTCATCAGCAACTCCTATAAACACAGGGGATGTCAATAATGAGAGCTCTTCAGAGGTACACACTAACAATTTGTCAATAAAAGTCAATATTGTTTAAGAAAATCAGCAAATATTTGTAGTAACAATTGGTGACTTAAGCTTATCTTTGTAGGAAAATGTCTCTTTAAGTCTTTGCTACAAATTTACAGTATGACTTTTGAATCATACTTCTAGATATATACTTGTTTAGTTGTGAGATTGAGAAAGTATATATTAAGACTCAGAATAATAGTATTGCCAATTTGTCTTTCATGTTAATGTCATCTTAATTTAATGATTTTTTAGTTCATTACCAGTTAATTTATATATTTTTATTTATGTGTGTATACATACTGTCATGAACTATTGGGTTAATGAAGCATAAGGGAATTTATAAAGTTTATGCATTATTTTTATCTTCATTTATTGTTTTGCAAGAATTTTTATTTTTTCACTGATACATTTAAACTAGTGGAAAATGTAAATAAGTATAAACAATTCAAATAGCAATTTGCCTTTAAAAAGTTACATTACTATTTTCATTTTTAACAAACAAGTAATGTATTTGTTCATTATAGAAAAAGGAGATAGGAAAGAGGAGAATAAAAAAGTAACCCACAATACTGCCAACCAGGTGGACTGGGGCATGGCTCAAGTGAATGCCTAGAATTGAATTGCCAGCACTGTTACCAGAGACCAGCATATTCACTCTGTGCCTTCATAGTTTTTGTCAGTTGCCCCTTCTGGGCCCAGCTATAATCCACTACGCAGATCCCTTTTCTCTCAAAGTCTCAGTTGAACTTTTATTAGGAACAAATTTAAGTAAATAAAAAAATTATTTTGTAGTGCTGGAGATAGAACTCAGGGCCTTCTACATACTAGGCAGTTGCTGTTCCTTCTGAGCTACATTCCCAGCCCACTAGTTTTAAGAAAAATGTTCCAGAGCCTGCCAAGTAAGAGCAAGGCCCTGAAGGCCCTGAGTTCAAGCCCCAGTTCTTAAAAAAAAAAAAAGAAAAATGTTCCAAACTATGTTCATTATAAGATGGGCTCCAAGTGTCCAGTTGTGACCCAGTAGAGGAAACTACTAGTAATTGTTAACCTCAGTCAAGAAAAAAAAACAAAAACAAACAAAACCCAAACCAAAGAAACAGTAGCAACTTTAGGGGGTATTGATATTGAGTGATGGGGAGCAAGACAGCTTTATTTTTTCTGTAGAGCCATTTTCTACTTTCTCAGGTAATTATTTTATGCCCTCTTTATCTTCAAATCTCCTGTGTGTCTTACCTTCTGACATTGAGAAAATAGGAACCATCAGATAAATGACCTTGTTTTATCACCAAAGTTATTCTAATACCCATGCTCACTTTCTTACTTTAGTACATGGAAGATTGTTCCCTTTTATCAGATTTCTATTTTTTGTCTAGTTCTCTATATTCCATAGTGTTTCATTCTTAATTTATTGTCTCTCTGCTGCCAGTTTAGTTTTTTCTTTTTGTAATTTCTATATTTTTTATTACCATAAATTAAATGTGCAAAGGGGTTTTGTGATATTTACTACATGCATATAATGTACCAAATTCATCCCATCTACATTACTCTTTTTAACCCTCTTGCCTCCCCCCTACTCCTTTTGGTGGGTTTCATTATACTATTTTCATATACATGTATATATTTATATGTATCTTTAAAAATACTTCTATGATATTTACCTCTTATCACCCTTGTTTCTCCTCCTTCTGTACTTGCTGGTTCCCCTCCACCAACCTGTGCCCTTTTTATAATTGTATCATATTGTTATTATGATTTTAGGTCTAGATTTCATATATGAGTGAAAACGTGATTCTTGTCTTTCTGAGCTTGGCTTATCTTGCTTAATATGATGATCTCCAGTTCTATCCAAATGATATAACTTCATTCTTCTTTATGGCTGAATAATACTCCATTGAATATATGTACCATATGTACTAAAATGTGGTACCTATATATACACCACATTTTCTTTGTCCAATCATTGATTGTTGGTCACTGTGGCTGGTTCCATAGCTAGACTATTGCAAATAGTGCTGCTATAAACAAAAATGTGCAGGTATCTCTTTTTTTGTGTTGATTTGCATTGTTTTGGCTATATGTCCAAGACTAGTGTAGCAGGGTCATATGGTACTTCTATTTTTAGTTTCTTGAGGAGCCTCCATACTGATTTCCAAAGTGGCTGAACTAATTTACATTGCCATCAACAGTAAATAAGGGTTCCTTTTTCCCTTTATCCTTGTCCCACCCACTTAGTTTTTACTCTGTCTTGAATTATTCCTATACACACTTATAAACAGCATATAACTTGGCTTTTAACTGAGAGAACCCATTTGATTTATATTGGTAATTGATTCATTTTTACTGTTCTTGTTGCATAGCTCTTTGTCCTGGTGTTTTTGTCTCATATGCTTTTGTGTGAACTTCTTTTTCTCATTACACACCCTATGCTTCTGTGTTACCATTCTCTGGTTTTCTTCCTGCCTCTCTTCTCCCTCTTTGCTGGCCCCTTTGGTAACTGACCTTCCAAGTGGTGGAGTGCATTACTTGGATTAGACTGGGTCCTTGAACTAATTTGGAAGTTACACATTTTATTCTGTTCTCTTAGTGTTTCATTACTTTTTTTTAATTTTCACACACATAATAACTAAGATGTTTTTCTTTCCTCCTATTTCATGAACTTTTGAACACTGATATGGATCACCAGCCTCTGTCTTATAATCTATTACTGTTTGGTGTTTTTTTTTTTTTTTTGCCAGTATTAGGGATTAAACCCAGAGCCTCACTCATGCTAGGCAAGCACTGTACTACTGAGCTGCACCCCAGCCTCAGTAATTTATATTTATTTTCTTTTATGTTCACAAATTAGTTGTCATTATTTTCTGTTGTTACTGTTTAGATTTTTCCATACATTTACCAGTATGTTTATCATTCGTTCTTGCATCTTCAACTTTTCATTTGCAATTATTCTTTTTTAATATATCCTTAGGATTGTCTTTAATAAGGGTTCATTTGATAGATTCTTGGTTTTAGTATACAATTTTATTAATTGCATGATCATTCTTGAAATAAGATTTTGCTAAGTATAAAATTCTATATAGACTTAATTTCTCTCAACACATCGATCACATCGATCTCTGTCTTCTTTCTGGTTCAGATTGTTACTGTTGAGAAGACTGCTTTCAGTCCACTGTCTGTATTCTTTTGAGGTGATCTTTACTTCCACTCTAGCTGTTTTTCTAATTAAGCAATCAATCAACCAACCTGTCTTGTCTGTATCCTTCTTTCTCTCATTTTTCTGTGATTTTTAAAAATTCTGCTTAGGATTCACTGGGCTTCTTGAACATATGGTTGTGGTTTTGAAGTGTTCTGGAAAATTATCAATTATTATCTTTGAATATTGCTCCAATTATTTTTTCTGTTATTGCCACCTGGAACACAGATTAAATACATGCTTAAATTTCTCACTATCTTTCATTCTGTCTTTTCTATATATCTTTCTTATTTTTTTGGTGATTGAGCTTATGGCCTCAGGCTTCCTAGGCAAGCTGTTTACCACTTGAACCATACTCTAGACTCATATCTTTCTTTTTTGTCTGTTTTTCATTTCAGATTTAAGAATATTGATTATCCAATTAATTATGTCTTTAGTTGTAGAGAGCATCTACTGTTTAATACTCCCATTAGTTTTAAATGTCTTGTCTTTCATTTCTATAAGCTCTGTTTGTTTTTCAAATCTGATCATTCTTTTTAGTAGTTTCTTGTACTTTGTTCATATTTTCAAATTTTCTTTTTATTTATTTAAATATAACAAATATGATGATGATTTCTGTTTGATAGTTGTTAGTGTTATAGTATTTGAACCTTTGCAGGTTTGACTCTGTTGCTGGTTCTCTCTCCTAGTTGTCACTTATAATGACTTATTTTCTTGCTTATTTTACAATTTTGTTTTTGAGACTGGGGCCTTGCAATGTAGCCCACACTGGCTTCAAACTCATGATCCTCCTGTCTCAGTCTTCCTAGTACTTGGATTATAGGTGTGTACTACCACTCCTCCTTTTTTTAACTGTGAATTTGTGTCCCTTAGAAATTTTCTCGTTGGTGTTTTATTTGTTTGTTTTTTTGCTAGCCTGAACTCATAATCTTCCTGCCTCAGCTTCAGTGCTGGGATTAAGGTGTATACACCATCATGCCTGGCTCACATTTGCTTTTGCCAGTGCTCTAGAGGTGCCATCAACCTGAGATTGTCTTAAGTTCTGTACTTGAAATTTTTTTGGCTTACATAGTAGGATAAATTGTGACTACTATCCTATTTTGAGGGCTATTGGTGGATATGGAATCTCAGGGGAAATTATTTTTTTCCATATGCCCAGGTCTCAGTGGATAGTCTTTCTCTCCCTCCCTGCCCCATCCTCTATCTCCCCTTTATCCTCCCTCCTTTTCTTCCTCCTTCTTTTCCTACCTCTGCATTTCTGTCTGTCTCTATCTCTAGCTCTCTGTTTCTCAATCTCTTCCAGGTTTGTTTACCTTTTCCTTTACACTAAGATTGGCTTCCAACCTTGGAAAAGCTGTAGATGTCTTTGCAGCCATCTAAATAGAATTTGAAATATCATGATCTCCAAGACTTTAAAGAATTTCAGGGTGAAGTCTTGCTTTGGTGTTTATTTACATAATGTTTTATTTTTATTACATGTAATAATTACATAATAATAATGAAATAAGTGATATTTTATGTCATTTAGTTCTTATCAGGAAAACTTCAAACTATTTAGTATGCCATCTTGCTCAAAGCAAATGTCTTTGTTTACTCTTCTTCCTTCTCCAATCTGGCTTTATTCCTCAGTAGTAGTTTCCACTGAAAGTACTCACTAGTTCCCTGTGTTTTACTAAAACCTGTATTTATTTCTTTATCCTTATCTTATTTGACTTCTTAGAAGCATCTGAGTCAAACAGCTATTACTATGTAATTACATATTCTTTCTTGTGCTTAGGATATCCCTCTTCTCTTTT